TTGTGGGAAAAGTAACTGAGTGACTAAAGTAGCTGGAATTGAGTTCTTTTCTCCGATGAATTATGCTTAAGGGAAATTGGTTCCCTCTGCAGCGACCGGGAGGGGTGGCGCCTTCTCGGACAGGTCCTGAAGTCTCATTTCTAACAAGCATTGAATGGGAAAAGGGTTCCGACTCTGGTTTAATGTGAAAACATAGGCTAAGCTTCTTTTTCTTAACTAGCTGTAAGACAGGCATTTGCACATGGCATTCGTGGTATGCGTAACACATGAAATGGTTTTCAACAAGATGCGAAGTGAATCTGTGCACAGAAATTATGATCGCTAAAAACTGTGCTGTTTTTTTCCTTTTTTAACTTTAACAAAAGCATACAATTAACTATCTCTTTTAAATGGGAACTCCTTACCTGCCCAGTGGTAAAGTCGCTGAAAATGGTACTTCGGTCCAGAGTTCGAATCCTTCAGAAAGTCCTCCACGAAGACTATTTCTCCTTTTAGCTAGACAGCCCTCGAAAGCTTTGCCATAATCAACTAAACTAAGCATTTGAATAAATTCCCCTTCAAAACATAAGTAGTCAGATATAAGAGATGAGATGATGTGACCGTTGGAATCAGTAAAACTCAGGCATTATTTATCCATGATGGTTATAAATATAAAATTCACGGCTAAATCGTAGAGTTACAAAAGTAAAGATTTATTCGCGTCTTGGCAAAAAATTTCAGTTTGTTTTTAAAGAAAGCTGCATTTACTTGTTTTAGGTTATTGGGATCAGATTGTGCGCGAGTGAACAAATCTTCTCGCCCGTGAAATTTGCATTGAGTGATCATCTATACATTAAATCCATGCAGCAAAGCAAGTTAAGGACAAAGATAGCTGAAATATGCAGAAGAAATAAAGAGTAGCCAACATATATGTAGTGCATTAAGGAAGAACTTATATGCGTATTATATATTACAGATGATTCAAAGTAACGAAACAGAATTAAACTATTTTACATAGCAATATAGCGTTAATCGAAATTACAAAAATAATTCCACTTTCCAGTAATTAATTCTAATATTTTAGGTGCTGCCGGCTCTAGGCTCATTAAATGACTTGGATATACGTAAATTTGTATGTCTAACACTTATAAATGTTTATGATAAGAGAATAGGGATTTCTTTGATGCGTTGTGACCCTGTGTGAATATATGTATGATATAATATGCAGAAATGCATATTGGGCAAATATGTATTGAAAAAACGATAATCATCATACTTGCTTTGCGGCATCGGACAAGCAGACTAGTTAGAATGGAACGGGGATGTAAAACGTTTAAGATTATTGCAGCGTGCATTGCTATTGGACGGCATGTTTGTGAATTCCATTACAGTATTAACTCAATTAAAATATTGTTAATATAAAACCTATAAAACGTACCCTAAAAAGGTATGTAGAAAAGAACAATGTCACTATGCACTACTGTAGGCCATTTAGAATACTTACTGTAAAAAATAATAAATTATCGTGAGAATTTCAACAAAGCTATGATTTAAGGGTTATAAGTAGACATTTTTCAGAATTTCCGTTCCAAAACTTGCTGGTGTTGTTGTTGTTTCTCATGCTGACGCAGTCAGTCCAAGACCACGAAATTCCTCGTGGCTACGAAGGCTAGATTACGCCTGCCGTTGGCAACAACCTTCAGAACCATTCAGGTGGTAGTGAGATTTAGCTTAGTTCCGCCGCCAATTTTGATGTAGAGCATCCCAGTGGAACGGGTCCTAGGGTCTCCCACACATCTTCCCTTCCACCAAACCACACGAGAGGACTTTCGGCTCGCCGTATATTTAGAGTGCCACCCTCCCGCATAGACACTATACATTTACAAACATCCATGCCTTTTCCAGGATTCGAATCCGCTCCCTTCGGCACAGCACTCAGGGACGCTAACCGCTATACCGGTTGAGCAGCAAAACTTGCTGGTAAATATTACTAGATTTGCTGGTATACTGGATTTGTACTTCGTAAGATTTCTATTTAGTTTTATGTAGTTGCAATAAAATTCTTTTCATTTACTTAAAAAGAAACAATTTAAATTATAGTAGTGCATCAAAACTCTTTTTCGAAGTTTATTGTTTTTTGATTTCTTAAAATTTGAGTTAATATGCCATATAACAATGTTTGATTTCTGCTATAAAATTTCAAAAATATAATAGAATAGTCATTTTCTCTAAACGAAAGAATTAATTTGACATTAATTAGACATTAATTTATTCATTCTTGCAAATTTCATTACTATGATGGCTTATAAATTCTTAACTTTTTCCTAACAAAAGTAAATGCTTTAAATATTAATAACAGCAAGTTCCTTCCTCTATTCTTAAATCTTTTTATCTTTTGATTTTAATTGATCAGTAAACTTGCTCTTTTATTTTATGATCAAAATGATCTTTTCTAACTTGATAGCAAGTAAAGTTTTAACGAGTTTGTTATCATAAATGAGAAAAACATGGCTCTTGAAAATTTCCATCATTTTGCATTAAGTAGCTAATAATAAATGTTTCTGTTATTTTACAGGATCAAACTCATTTAACTCAATGATAAAAACTTTACACAATTGAGCAGACTTTGTCATCAAGGTAGCAAGGCGACATAAATGTCATTATCCATTAATATCTTCACATTATTTATTATACGGCAACAGAAGTATGCATCACTACCACTGTAAAGATATTTCAGAGATTAGTTCATTGTCAATATTTCTGATGATGTCCAAACCAAATACAGGCACGTGATTGATAAAACAACTCATACTTTACGACGTTCAATTAAAATTCAGCTCCCTCTGAGTAAATGGTAACACGTGACCAACGTTTAAACAAAGCTTCAGATGAGAAACATAAAGATCATTGCCACAAAAAAGTTTCAAATAAAAAGGCAACATAAAATTATCCTCTCTGAGGCTAATGCAGTCTATGCTTAACACAAATGCAACCAATTAGCTAGTGCTTCCATCCACGCTGAAGCGTGTATAGCTAATGATAATGAATAAAGTTTGTGAAAGAACAATAAACTAAAGAAAAACTTCAGCTAGCGATTAAGCCATGCGTAAATTATTACCCCGCAGGCCTGATAGATTAAGGATAATTATAAACGTGTTCTAAAAGTTCCAACCTTGGTGTTTTATCAGGGTTATTTGAGTTATTAGGAGAGCGTGCTGTTATACGCAGAATTAACATTTTTTGCGGGTTGTTATTGTGAAAGTTTACATTAGCTTTGAAGAATAGATAGAAAGGAAACAAAATATGGTTTGTTTTGTTTTTGTAAAATGAAAGGTTCGCAAATCTGACTTTTTATATTTAAACTTAGTATTTAATTAAAGTTCTTTGTTCTTTACATAGATTACGCATTGAAATTTATTGGACGAAGCTACTTGCTTTATTAAATATGCATGAAACAGAAGCTCAGTCTCTTCCTCGAAGAAATTTAATGAATAATTTGTTACAAAAATTGTTCTTTTGATATAACTCTTTCATTCCTAAAAATCTTATAATATTTGAAGCGTGAAAAATAACGTCAAGATTTGTTTATATATGTTTATATTTAAAAAAAGGCCAAGAAAACTCGAAAATACCTTTACTAGCCTTTAAATTTTTAAATTATTAATATTGCAGACAATTAAGCATTTTAAAGGCAAGTTAGTTTTTATGAAAGCATTCTAAGATTATAAATATCTATCCATTCATGTTGTGTTTTAAATGATGTTGCAATCTTACATCTTCCATTACTTGCATTAGAGACATATATATATACTTTTGTATTTAAAAAGAATGTCATGGATTTCTTTAAAATATTAAGATACTTTGTGGAGGGCATAAAACTTTTTTATGCTCTGCTTTAAATATGAAAGATATTTCACCTATTGCTGGAATCAGTATCTGTAGATTCATACCTCATTTTCTTTCTTTAAAGATTGTTATTCACAAGATAGTTTTAGTTGTTTCTGACTGAAACTGCTCTATTTAAAATGAATTTGCGATTGTAAATGTATTTATTTACCTTCACATGTACAGGTATTTCGTTCGCACCACGGAAGACATACCATAAATCTCCCAAGCGTTTTATTTATGTTCAAAAATATTCATAAATTCAAGAAAATTTTTAATTTGTGTATAAAATTATCCTCTGTTTATCAGAATATTTCTTTATTAGTCCAAAGGGATTTGAATCCCGAAGGACTATTAGTTTCGTTTTGGCATTTTGCGTCGGACTCATAAATGTCGGTTCACTTTTCAAACTGTTGCCACAAAATGTTAGAGTCCTGCATTATATTTGAAGAAATTAAATAATGAAAAATCTGCGTAAATGTATGTATATTTCTCGTATTGTGATAAAACAACGGTACATAGAGTCATCGAATTTTGAATAACGTAATCCTCCAACGAATATGAGCATGTGGAAGACCAAATTTGAAATTTGAAATTTGTTTTATGATCGATTTCCTATTTTTTAAAACTTTGACGAATTTTTGATTAACAAACTCAAGGATTACAAAGCGAGCAATGGCAACGTTGTGCAGAAAAAAACATTTTTTATCTCCAGCGCGTGAGTCTCTGTATCGGAAATTCTAAAGATATGCTCGTTTTAAAACTATTTTGCGATATTGCTGTTGCACTGGATCTTATGGTTTAAGTGCGAGGAACATGATATTTAATAAAGAAAGGTAACACACAAAATGTTAAAAAACGCCCCTTTGGACGTAATTTAAAATCTGAAACATTTCAGATTTTTTTTTTTTTTTTTTTTTTTGTTTTCTTGCATTTTTAATGGTTTTAAAATTCCTAAAACATATATTTTTATGTCAAAAATCAACTGTTAAGCGAAAAATATTGAATCTACCAGTTATTTTATATCCTTAAAATGCAATTTGTTCAATCTTTGACGAAAAATAACTATTTTTAGCCTTAGAATATAAATAGATCATTAGTTTATAAAATCTCGTGAATTCATAAAAACACAGAAATCAGGCTAAGAATTACCTTTTATTTTTTCCAATATACAAACAATTAACAACAAAGCACATTTATTTATATGTAGATCACAGTATTCTTTTTAGGAGATTAATAATACTTTTAAAAGAATTAGGTAATTAACAATTTATCTTTCATGCTTAGATTTACAATCATTTTTTGCTTTTAGTAATTCAAAATGACGGTCATAGACTGTAGTATCAGATCATTAACAATTTAAGATAACGTTTTCTTAATACCAGACTAGAATTAATAACTTAGATAAATTGCTGGAAAAGAATTTGAAGTTTTACATTAATGCATATCCACAGCATTTAATCTTTGGCACATGGTTTTGTGATGTATAAAAGATATTCTACAGAAACAATAATTTCAAATCAATGAAATTCATGCATGGATTTTATAATATATATAAGTGAATAAGGCTTTAAAATTTTCGTTCACTATTTAGGTGCATATTTTCTTTATTTTACTAATTTTTTATCGTCTTATCGAAATTGTTTTCTTTTTGATAGCCTCATTGCTTTTAGTAAAGTTTCTTTTCATAGCATTCGAAAAGCTCCGTAAAACTGCAAGAAAAAAATAATACTAAATAAATAAATCTTTTACACTAATAGCAAGATATCTGAAAGTGTTCGGCTTTTCAGAACAGAATCTAAATTTTTGTAATATTATTAAATTTTAAATAAAATGTATAGTTATAAATATATTCAGATCGTAGTTCGTCTTCATAAAGTTTACAGGATTAGAACTGTGTTGAGATCTTCTGATCGATAAGTTTTCATGTACTTCTGAGACCCAGTACCTCAACATCTGTAGTAAACTCAAGTTCTTCATTAGTGGTAACCACCAGCACGGTAGGCATTAGGATTACCCCCATAAGCGTTATAAGCAGGCTGGGGCTGGGCAGCTGGCGCCGGGGCAGGCGCTGCTGGGGCTTTCGGGATACCATCGCCTTCGACTTGAAACCCATTCTTGCCAGCTGTGTACTTGATGATCCTTTGTTTGCCAGATCCATCGACGTACCCATAGGCACCCTGAACGGTTCCGTCAGGAAGTCTGGTCTCTTCCCTGAAGCTCTGGCCATCAGTACCCTTACCAGTGTCGTAGCCGAACTTGTAGTCTCCGGCCAATTCAGCACCTATGTTCACATAGTGAACTGCTGCTGGAGTGTAAACTCTGTTTGGCTTGGGCTGAGTGGACTGGTAAGCTGGCTGAGGCTCATAGGCTGGTTGAGGCTGGTAAGATTGGGGCTGGGGTTGGTAAGCTGGAGCTTGTTGAGGTGCGGGCTGTTGGTATGCTGGAGCTGGTTGCTGATATCCTTGTTGATGTCCTTGGTACGGGTACTGGGCGCTGACGACGGCCAAGAGCGTAGACAAAGTAATCTGGAAGTCAAAAGACAAAGAAAATTAGCATATATCTTTCAAAATTTTGTGTTGAAATGAAATTAAAAACATGAAAATTTCGAATCCTTATTGCAAAAGTTAAAAATATTTATAACTTTTCGAAACGTTATTTAAATTTAAGAACATTGCAAGAGGTGTGTTTCATATAGTATTCTTCTGGTGTCATTTTACATCTGGTATCATTGTACAACCACAAATTTTAAATCTTAAATTTCGGATTTAGCAAAATCTCAAAGAATTTTAAGAAAGACTGGAGAAGAGAAATAACATTTTATGCTTTTAACGGCTCTCCTGGTTTTAGTGCCAGATAATACAAACGGGTTCAAAGCTATGATCTCTGTTTAAAAAAAAAGTGTAAAAATTAGTTTTAAAAACTGCCATGAAATCCCGCAATATTTATGTCGAAATATTAACATCAATTATCATCATTTCAGTAAACATTTTAGCTGCTAATTCCAAAAAGTATAAATCCCATAAGCAAATTTTTATAAGTCGTGATTACAGCAGATGAAATGATAATGTACAAAACGTTTATTAGGCTGCATAAAAGAGGTTTTTTCGTTTTGCCAGTTACATACAATTCACATTAAGTTAATTATTAATCTATTTTCAAAACCGCAATTGCAGTACTTTTAAAATATGTTTAATAATTCTGAGATCTGTGCTGTATTTCTTAACGGCTAAGCTTAAATTGTAGCTCAAGCCTGGAGACATATTGGAGACTATAAAATTGCACAGTTTCGCAGTTTTTATATTTCTTTCAGTAGCAGTAGATAACCAAAATATTTCTCTTGCAGTGATTTAAAAATTTTTAATTCAAAAAATAAAACGTCTGGGGATTTAAACATATATATACGAAATGAAAAAAAGGAATACGAAAATTTAAAATTATATTAATAATGTATTTAAAAATGCAATGCAATGCAGTAAAAATAAAGTTTATATAAAATCTAAAGATAAACATTACTATATTGTGTTGTGAAATACTGCAAAATTCATTTACAATATGCTACATTTGAAACATAAGACTCTCAAATTTTCCATTAAAATTAAGAATATTGTAAGAGGTATGTTTCGTATCGCATTTCATTTAAACAGATCACAAAAAGGAAAACTTTTTGTCTCAAATTTGGCGAAATGATATGTAAACTTTAGCAAGACAGAATGTTTCAAGAGGAAGATACCTCAAAATATCCTATAGTTTATTAATTTTGACTATTTTTCATTAATAAATGAGAATGGATATTTTGCAACCAATTACATAACCTCATTATCTAAAATAAAAATTTAGTCACATTTTTATAATAATTTTTGTAATATAGTGCATAATAAAAAGAATTACCTAAAATTTTTAGTTGATTAGAGAAAGAAGTCAAAAATATAGCCAAGAAACACTGCATATTAAACACTTCGTTTTGAGTTAAAATTAATCCATTTTCTGAAAATACTTCAAAGAAAATTTATAACAACAATATTCTTAACTCAGACGATTTTGCTTTAAATGAACTCTCCTAATATTATAACTTACGTATTTATGTAATTCTACTAAAAGTGTTAAAAAAATAAGATTCATCTGCTGTTAAAAGCTTGTAGTAGCTTAATTTTTCTTTACTTTATCGGTCTACATAAAACTTATAGCCTCATATATAGCCTGTAATATTTTGAAGTTAGTTTCATTTACCACCATTATTTCTTTCGCAAAAATTAGTTCTCTGAAGCACTCAAATTTAAGTAAACATATTTTTAATAAATTTTAGCCTTTCAGAAATTAAGAGTCAAAAATAGCTTTGAAAAGAGATGTTTTTCTTTATAATAGAGTTCCTTTTAATTATTATCTTAACTAAATGTAATGTCTTATTAAAAGTTATTAGTGTTTATTATACAGTTTCTTTTAATTATTATCATAACTAAATGTAATTGTTTATTAATGTAAAAGTTATTAGTGTTTTTATAGAGTTTCCTTTTAATTATTTTCCTAACTAAATGTGATATTTTATTTCTGTAAAAGTTATTAACGTTTATTATAGAGTTTCTTGTAATTATTACCCTAACTAAATGTAATAGTTTATTAGTGTAAAAGTTATTAGTAGTTTCAAGAAGTTCTGTGATACTAATAGAATACCACATAGGAAGAAGAGAACTAAGAAATGGCAAACACAGCCAAACTGATTATTTTCTACATTATTAAATTTGGATTATTAACAAAACACTTTCGCTTTCCTTTCCAATGGTCAATTAATTTTCTTCCTAATAAGTCCTTAGTATAAATAAATAAAATTTTGGAGCTAATTCATAGATATTCATTTTCCAAACCTAAATTTTAATTAGCTACAAAGAACAAAATGTAGGCTTTTAAAAACTCAAAAGCAGTTATATTCTTCTATTAATGATATGCTGCATTTTAGGTGAGCACGATGTAAAAGAAATCATTGCAACAAATACCGAACATCTTATCTTTGATGGCCTTTTGAATAATAATTAATACTTAAGATTGGAGTCATATCCATTGTCAACTGTTCTTCGCAAAGTGATTCACGGAAATAGTTTCTGCATCCTTTTAATTTACTCCATCATTGTAATAAATAATGAGCGCTGCATCTTTCTCCAACAATTTAAATAATAATAAATATTTATGGTTGCTTTCATATTCGATGTCAGTATTTCTTCAAAGTGATTCAGTATCAGACAGTCTCAATTTGTTCCAGTTTATGATGTTACTTACGTGCAAACTCTCGTAAGATATTTTGCCATTTTCCACTGTTCAAAGGAACAAAACAAAGAAGAACGTATTCATTGCTAAATTATAATTAAATTTTACGCTATGTTAAATAAAATATTTCCTTTCCTATTTTATGTTCCCTGACAATATTTGTTCATTGTAAAAGGGATTTTTAAGTTTTCTAAAACAAAATATTAATTATTTACGCCATAAAAATAGCCGAGTATAAAATGTTAAATGATTAATTACTTGATAAATCGAATGAAAGGAATTATTTCCTTCAATAGACATTAGGATCTGTTTGAAGCAGAAAACATGAAAAATGAGCAATGCCCTCGCCAGGTCTCAAACTTGGAACTCTCGAATACTCACCGTATGCGCTAACCATTGCAACAAGAAGTTATCCAGAAAGGAGGTAGAAAATACTTTAACGGTCTAGGTATTCATGGAGAGTATAATTAACAAATCACAATCTATGAGAAAAATTTAACTTTCCACCTTTAAATAGATACAGGAAGAAAATTTATAGCTTTGATAATTAAAATAATAAGCTTCAGAAGGCAAATACTATGACTACATTTAATTTGTAATTTTGAGCTTACTACAAGCATAAAGTTTCGTTCTCAAGTGCAAACAATAGAATATCTGGAGCGTATACTTACGAAGGCTATCATTGTGTTGCAGAAGTTGTTTCGAAGTTTACTGAAAAGGTTTGTGTGAGAGAACTTTTTTGTCATGGGGTTTTTATACCGCGAAAGGTGAACATGAAAAACAAATGTAGCACGCTTTTGATATTTTAATTTTATTCATTTAATTGACGTCAGATACGTAGCATTCTCATACCGTTTTAAGAACGAGGAAGTTGGAAACAAAGACGAAAATTCAACGTTATCCGTTACAACTGGAATTCGGCGAAAACTGGCGCAAGTCAGGGAACCGGCAATTGCTATGTATGTGATAGGTCTGGGCATATTAGTTTCAATTTGACCTTTATCTTAACTGACAACTTATTAAATGTTTAATAAAATATTTTAATAATCAAAGTTAAGAATACAAAATGCATATTGAGCAAAAATGCTTAAGAAGCATTGAAAAAATTTATTTATTAGAGATGGGATGAATCTTAGTTTTTTTTTTTTTTTTTTTTTTTTTTTTCCCCGAATGTGAATCCTGAAATGTTCTTTGACTTCTTAGATTTCTCAAAGCTTTTGTTTCTTTTACATGTTAATAAGATGAAAATAAGAATGAAAACAACTTTCTCTTATTATTAGAGATTTTTAATGCAAGCAAAATTTGAAACCTGCATTTAATTAAAAACAAATTTTAAAATGTTTTTTAAATTACGCCTATATTAATTAAGACGATACAAATAAAATTTATTAAATGAAATATATACCTTCAATTCCTGAATCTTGATGTTCATTTTCTCCATATAATTTGCCGAGAAGATTTCCATTTTAATTTCGATTTTGTACATTTTTCCCAGAATCATTTTAAATCAAAAAAATGCAGGCGAACTGATTAAAAGTTAACCGTGAATAAAAATTTAATACAGAGTTTCATTTTCTCTTCTGTGGCTTCTATCATGGCTTTTACAAGTTGCTATACACGTATGATAAGATAAGAACTACATAATATAAAACTTTAAATATTTTTTTAATGAATGCTTCTCTTGGACATTAAAGAAATTATGCTTTTTATAGTTTTGATTTTTAAAGTTTAATAATTTTACTTCCTTGTACGAAGTAGAACGAAGTATTACGAAAGCGAAAATTTAGAGTATCATATTTTTACAGAAATATCCGTTTTCACTGTTTCCGAATCTATTTGGACGATATGACAGTTCACATAAAGAACTGTGTTTTCAAAAACGAATTGTAAAATGTATTTAAAGTGGATTCAAAAGGAATTTGTTTTTACATCCGTACATACGAATCTATGCATGTATGTATTTATCTCGCGTATCTCAAAAATGATTAGCCGTAAAATACAGAAATTTTGTGTACGACGCGACTAAAACTTCTAGTTTTGCTGATCCTTTTTTACTGCAATTGGCCGAACCACGGTAATGCTACATTGTTTTAAAAAATTAAGTTTCGACAGGTAAAGATTTATAAATTTTAATGTGGTCTTCCGATTCTTATATTTGGGAAAGTTTTACACTTGTTTTGAAAAAATTAAATTAAAAAAAGTTTTTTATCGTACGACAAAAATTCGCATTATTTGGGCTATTTAATTTAAAAATTTGCAACTTTTGCGTCATTTTCAACTTGCCTCGGGAGATGCGGTATTTAAGTTAGAATAATTCATAGAAATAAATTTAAATTATATGCAATAAAGATCTGCATAATTTAATAGGCTGAGTTAGGAAGTCATGTGGTGTCCACAACAGATTTTTACTTAAATGTACGAAGTAAAACGGAAGTATTGTAATCGCGAAAAGTATCAGACAGCATATTTCAACGAAAATATCCATTTGACTGCAATCGAATGCAATTTAGCGATGTTTTTGCGTAGTATTTGTACGTAAAGACAGAATAAAAGACTCTTTTTCTCCAAACAAACTATAAAACTGCTTTAAAATGAATTCTAAAGAGAATTTTTCGTGGTATCTGTACGTACGTATGTACGTATGTATCTCCCATAATTCAAAATCGAGTAGCCTCAGAATGTTTAAATTTTGTATATAGGACTCTATAACATGTAGATGCAACTCGTATTTTGATTGCAATCGGCTGCACCAAACGTATATAAATAAATTTATATATATATATCCACTCTGTTACCCGGCTCAGTGATCTCAGTTTCTTTCCTCTTATATGTTTGTAAATTGTGCATTTTTTGCTTTAAAAATGATTGAATTATGTTGTTTTTATCTTCCGGTTAAGCCATTAGGAAATCTGCAAGCAATATTTGTAGAATTATCAACAACTGTTTAAGTGCGGTTAAGCCTAATTTTTAAATAACAAGCGGATATGTTTGTTTACATTTGAAACAGCAGATAGTAGATTTGTTGCCAATCAAGAGAGACTAAGCTCGCAACAACAAAGATAACGCCTTCATTTATTAATGCGAATTAAATCATGCTTAATCATTTCTGGAATTTTTTCGATGAAGTAAGTGTTTAAGATTTACTTTGTAATTTTTCATATATATATGAGATTTTATGTATTTTTGCCTTGTCGCGAAGTGAGAACTGAATTAATTGAATGAGAAATACTGAATCGTCTGTGAAAAACTGTTTCCTTTTGTTTTGTTTGCTTAATTTCTTTTATACATTACTCTAGATTTATTATAATAATTGAATAGAACATGTGGCAACGATTAGATAATTTTTCAAATGGTATAAATTTTGTGCATTTTGTGAATATGAACGAAACAAAAAGTACGTTCCATCTTACTGGATTCAACTCATCATTAAAGACACCCTACTTATAATATATTGTTAAAGGCCGCACTAGGCCGATTGCCTCTTAATTGTGTTATGACATAGACATAGACATAGACATATGAACGAAATATAACGCTGTTAAGTGAACCTAGCGCCAGAGTGTCACTATGGTAAACAATTTAGTGAATTTTAAAGATTGCATTTATTCTATTGTGGTTTATGCGCTATCGACGAAGTAGATTTAATTGAATCCAATAAATTTAAACGAAATGCAAGAAAAATGCGTATAATTTAATATTCCGTAAAGGAAGTCATGTGGTGTACCCATCAAATTTTTTAGGATAGGATTCGAAAAATAAGATTAATCAGGAAATGAAAAATTTTGAATCTCCAATGCTTTTGGTACGCAAAGCTTTGAATTTCCTTATTTATGTATCATCTCGAGTTTTCTTCCTTTTGCTTGTATTATAAGATACATAAATTATTAAGAAAACATTCTACTTTTTCTTTATCTAAGTTTGCAATCAATGGCAGCAGGAATTTCATCCTTGTAGACTCAATCTTTATTAAAATTATGCTTTATTTAAATTATCTATTCTTCTTGACATCTCAGCTTGTTATTAGCTAATAAGTAAGCGTTTTATAAAGCCTTCTACGTCTTTTCTTCCTTTTTTTATGACTATGTGAAAACTATCAGTTTCTGCAGTTATTTCTTAAGTTATCTGCAAAGCTAATAATTAAATTAAAATTAGGCAATATTAAACCTTAGATTTATATTAATTTCACTGATAAACTCTGCAATGTGAGGAAAAGTGACTCTGGATCTTTCTTCTTCAAGAGAAAAATATATTCTGTTAATAAACTAAAAATTAAAGTACGTAAGATGATATTCTATGACATGTTCCAATGCTTTTATGCATATCCAAATTTATTATGTAAACGGAAATACTTTAACTAAATTTAAATACTTCTTACTTAACTCTGTACATTAAGTATTCTACAGAGTTAAGTAAGAAGACCATACCATATGCTGTATACATACTCGCTATTGTGCAGATATATAACTGCTGATAAATTTTATCGTACTTTATAAGGTTTATTTTTTATTCGGTTAAAAAAATATGCTTCGGAAGAATTTATAAGCTGATATGTAATGTAATAATTTTAAAGTCACATTGAAACTGACTTAAACTAAATGTCGGTAAAAATTTCCCTTTAATTCTATCTTCAACTTAATTTACAAAAAAGTATAAATGGGTAGATGTAAAGAGTCTTTTTTAATGTGGAATAGATATGGGATTTTTTTTTTACTTTGGATAATTATTATCATTTTACTTTATAATTATTAAAAGAAATTCAAAATTTTCCAGAATTGCTGTAATTAAAGTTTTCCAAAGATTCGTTAAATTAATGTAAAATGCATTATTTCTTACAGAAAAAGTTTTTTTAAACAAATGATATGTTTATATATGGAGCAATTACAATTTACAAGTAGAAGTTAAAATCAAGTACAAGAAGCAATTAAAAAGTAACCTCATGAGGTATTCACTAGAAAAATATTTTTATACCTCAATCTTTATAATTATTTGTATGAGTTCTTCAATACCAGTTGCACAGAATTCTTTGGGTGGGTGTCTCAGATAAATTAGGGCTTTATCTTGACCATGATTATCCTTTGCAAAGCGTAGACCCGACACACTTGTGCACGGCTATACGGACAAACATTTCCTTCCATAAATAGGAAACATTTCTTATGAAAAATCTTTCGCATGAAGTCCTCTGCCTCCCCCCCCCAAACAAAAAACGGATAACAGACATGCCCCTCCTGTCTTTTAATGTTATCTAGTTCTATCGGCATTTTTCACTGAACTAGTTATGGTAATTAGTAACTAACGAAATGAATATCATGAATTAAGATAGTATTGCTACCTATTAACTTATATGAAAGTACTCGCTGCTAATTTCAAATGTAGCATGTCAATTTGTGACTTACTTTTTGACTTACCCTCGTATTTACAAAGTTGAAGATAAATTACTCTATTATTCTTTTATTTTTAAATGTAATAGTTACTCTAAAAAATGAATTCTCGAATAGATAAATTTTTTTTATTTATTAATATTATGATTACTTCAATAATACATTTGCATATGAATACGTAAATTTGGTTTGAGTTTTTTTGCAAAAGAAGCAAATTTACCTTGATAGAATGCCTCCATGGACGAATTTTTACAACAAATTGACTCATGCATGAGCAAATATTGAGAGCCCATGCAGCCGCCAATACAAGCTGAGATAAAATCTACTTTTTCACTGTCTCTGCCTACTCAGTCATTGGTTGAGCGGACATTGTGATAATCTTAGCGCATGGAATTTATTTTTATTT